TTTTTTTTTTTTTTTTTTTTTTTTTTTTTTTTTGGTATTGTAAGAGTTCTTTTGTAAAGAACTTTGGTGTTGTAAAATCTCTATATATGGTGAGGATGTGGAGAAAGTGAACTGTTGCACTCTATTAGTAGGAATGTAAATTAGTACAGCTACTATGGAAAATAGTATAGTGATTCCTCAGAAAATTAAAAATAGAACTACCATATGATCCAGTAGTCCTCCTGCTGAGTATATACCCAAAAGAAAGGAAATTACCATGCTCCCATGTCCATTACAGCATTATTCACAATAGCCAAGATACAGAGTCAAGCTAAGTTTCCATCAAGAGATGCATGGATAAAGAAAATGTTCATATATATACTCAGTGGATATATTATTCAACCATAAGAAAGAAGTCCACCAAGCAGGAACCCACATCCAGGAACAGAGCACTTTGGTCCTCCGTCAGAATGATTGGAGACCAGAAATCAGATGTTTATGCCCAAGAAAAGCAGGATTTCATTAAACACTTTTCCTGGATTGTCAGGGTGCTGACTGAGAATGAGATGGGGCACCCAGAGACAGGAGATGCTACTGCCCAACTCAAGGAGGTCCTGGAGTGCAGTGCCATTGGAGGCAAGTATCACCAGTGTTTGATGGTACTGGTAACATTCTGGGAGCTGGTGGAACCAAGGAAACAGGCTGCTGATAGTTTTGAGTGGACCCTGACTGTGGGCTGGTGTGTGGAACTGCTGCAAGCTTTCTTCCTGGTGGCAGATGACATCATGGATTTATCCTCACCTGCTGGGGGCAGATTGGCTGGTATCAGAAGGCAGGCGTAGATTTGGATACCATCAGTGATGGTGTGCTTCTGGAAGCATGTATCTACTGCCTGCTGAGATACATGTTCTGTTGCATGGAGCAGCCCTATTACCTGAACCTGATCAAGCTCCTCCTGCATAGTTCCCATCAGACTGAGATTGGGCAGACTCTGGACCTCATCACAGCATGTCCCCCCACCCCCAGGCACGGTGGATCTTGGCAGATTCACTGAAAAGAGGTATAAATCTGTTGTCTGGTACAATTGATTGCTGTACTTGCAGCCATGTATATGGTGGGCTTCAATGGCAAGAAGGAGTACACCAACATCAGGAAGATCCTACTGGAGATGGGAGAGTTCTTTCAGATTCAGGATGATTACCTTGACCTCTTTGGGGATCCCAGTGTGACTGGCAAGATTGACACTGACATCCAGGACAGGAAATGCAGCTGGTTGGTGGTTCAGTGTCTGCAGCAAGCCGCTACAGAACAGATCCTGCAGGAGAATTATGGGCAGAAGGAAGCTAAGAAGGTTGACCCGGTGAAGGCACTGTACAAGTATGTGGATCTACCAGCTGTGTTCTTGGAGCCTGAGGAAGACAGATCCACCTTATGGGTCTCATCAAGGAGTACGCAGTGCCCTTGTTCCCAGCCATCTTCCAGGGACTAGCGCACAAAGTCTTTGAGCGGAACAGGTGACTGATAGATGGCAAGGGCAGGGAGAGGAGGCTCTCAGTAAATTATTGTGTAACTTTTTTTTTTTTTTTTTTTTTTTTTAAAAAAAAGGAAATCTTGTCATTTCATTTGCAACAACATAGATGAATTTGGAGGACATTGTATTAAATAAGCCAGGCACAGAAGAACAAATGCCTCATGATCTCATTTATATGTGAAGTATAAATGAGTCAAATTCATAGAAAAAATGTATAAAATGGTAGTTACCAGAGGGTGGGAGATTGGGGAGATGTTCAAAGGATACACAGTTTCAGTTAGGAGAAATAAGTGGAAGAGGTCTATTGTATATCATAGTGACTACAGTTAATACGTTGTAGATGTGAAAATTGCTAAGTAGATTTTAAGTGTTCTCACCACACACAAAAAAGGTTAGTATGTGAGGTAATGCATATATTTGTTAAATAGCTTGGTTTAACCATTCTACCATGTATTCATATATCAGAACATCTTGTATAATATAAATATATGCTATCTGTATTTGTCAGTTGAAGAAAAAAAGAAAGAGCTCTACATAAGAAGGAAATTAGGCCATCATCTTTTGGGAGAAAATTGTCCGTCCTTATTTATACTTACACTCAGAAAAATTGTGGATCCCTAATGTTAGGGAAGAGTAGTTTCATTCTGTCATAGAACTTACTGTAAAAAATGACTAGACCAGTTAGATAAGGGGACTAAATTTGAGAAACTATTTCTGGAAGACTTTAAGGACTAAGAATTCCTTTCTCTGCTGTAGCATAGCAAAGGGAAAGAAGGAAGGATTAACAAAGATGAACCAAGAGCACCTTATAAAGGAGAAAGCCATTGATTTACTGCAGAAAATAATGTAATAATTTCTTACTTTGTCACAGAGCCTGTTTCATGCATAAAACACGAGTTTATTGAAAGAAAAGCCTTTTCTACTCTCATGCAGTTGACGCAGGTGGGGATGAGGATGATAAGATAGTTGTTTGTAACTAACCAGAATACAGTGTGAAATTTACTGTAATACAGATAGATAACCTAATTACTCTATAGCATAGTACTAATGGACCTTGTTTCTTAGCACAGAAAAAATGAGAATGGGCCTGTAGTTGATTGCCAAAAGTTAGAGCTGTTACCTCTCATTCCTGTAGTGATAGATGACATCTGAGAATTAAGAGACAGAATAAAATGAAATGAGTCTCAACAACAAATTCTTAGTTTTGAATGATTTTTTAAATTTTTTTCTATTTTGGGGGTTATCAATATGAGAATGATGAGAGTTAAAATTTTTGTCATAATGGAGATATTTTTCTTATATTTTAGGAAGCAGGGAAGTATGTAGTACAGTTTAAAAAGTCATGAGAATGGTTAAAAAGTGGCAGTCTTCTGTTAATCTGGCAGATAATTCTGAAGTTTCCAGCTAAATGGATTGTTGACATATTTATTCTAGTTTTTCTTTTAAGGTGCTGCTCTGTCACCCAGGCAGGAGTGCCATGGCACTATGGTAGATCACTGCAGACCCCTAAGTAGCTAGAACTGCAGGTGTGTACCACCATGCCTGGGTAATTTTTTTTAAAAGGTTTTTGTAGATACAGGATCTTGCTATGTTTCTCAGGCTTGTTTTTTGATATTTATTTTAGAGACAGGGTCTTACTCTGTCATCCAGGCTGGAATGCAGTGGCATGGCTATAGCTCACTGCAGCCTCAAATTCCTGGGCTCAAGTGATCCTCCCATTGGGTTTATTTTTACTTTTTTAGAGATGGGGTCTTATTCTGTCAACCAAGCTAGAGTTGCAGTACAGGGTCATAGCTCGCTTCATCCTTGAACTAGTGGACTCAAGGGATCTACCTGAGTAGTTTGGACTTTAGGCATGTGCCATCATACCCAGCTAATTTTTAAAAAAGCCGAACATTTTTAAAGAGATGTGGATGTCATGATGTTACTCAAGCTGTTGTGAAACTCCTTGCCTCAAGTGATTTTCATACCTCAGCCTCCTGAGTAGCTGGGATTACTTGTGTATGAGCCTGGCTCCTGTAACTGTATTTTTTACTTACTAATCAACCTGTCTTCATCCTTCCCTTCTCTCCTGCCCCTCCTAGCTCCTGGTAACCACTGATTAACTCTACCTTCATTAGATGCACTTTTTAAGTTCTTGCATATGAGTGAGAACATGCAGAATTTCTGTGCCTGCCTTATTTCATTTTACATAGTGCCCAACGGTTCCATTCACATTGCTGCAAATGATGGGATTTTCCTTCTCTTTTTAGGCTGAATAATATTCCATTGTGTATATGTATCACATTTTCTTTATCCATTCATTTGTTGATGAAACCTTAGGTTGATTCCCTATCTTGGCTATTGTAAATAGTGGAATAAACATGGAAGTGCAGATATCTCTTTGCTATACTGATTTCCTTTCTTTTGGGTGTATACTCAACAGTAGGATTACTGGATCATATGGTAGTTATTTTTTGAGGAACCTACATACTGTTTTCCATATTGATTGTACTAGTTTGCATTTCCAACAACAATGTGCAAGTGTTCTCCTTTTTCTGCATCTTTGCCAGCATCTGGGTTTTTTTTTTGTAATTTTGATAAAAGCCATTCTAACTTCAGTGAGATGATATCTCATGGTTTTAATTTGCGGTTTCCTGATTATTAGTGATGTCTAAAGGTGTGTGCCACCATACCTGGCTAATTTTTCCTTTTCCTTTTTTTTTTTTTTTTTGAGATCGGGTTTCACTATGTCACCCTGGCTGGAGTACAATGGTACCATCTTGGCTGACTGTAACCTATGCCTGCGGGGCTCAGGTGGTCCTCCCACCTCAGCCTGCATACTAGCTGGGACTACAAACCTGTACCACCTTGCCCGGCTGATTTTTGTGTTTTTTTAGAGACGGGAGTCTAACTATGTTGCCAGACTGGTCTTGAACGCCTGAGCTCAAACATTCTACTCGTCTTGGCCTCCCAACAATTTTGTCTTTTAATTGAATAGTTTAGTCTATTTTTATTCAATGTTTATTTCAGTAGATAAGGACTTGCCACAGACATTTCATTGCTCGTTTTCTGGTTGTTTTCCTCTCTTCTTTCTTACTGTTTTTCTTTGTATTTAAGTGATTTTTCTCTAGTAGTATGTTTTAATTCGTTGCTTTTTTTTTTTTTTTTTTTTTTTATTTTGTTGTTTTTTTTTTTTTTTTTTTTAGTATCTGTGGTAGGTTTTTGCTTTGTGGTTACTGTGGGGGCTTGCAAAAACATCTAGAAATAGCTTTTATTTTTTTTTTTAGAGGGTCTCTCACTCTTTCGCCAGGCTGGAGTGCAGTGGCGTGATCTTGGCTCACTGCAACCTCCACCTTCTGTGTTCGAGCTATTCTCCTGCCTCAGCCTCCCGAGTAGCTGGGGCTACAGACACACGCCACTGTGTCCAGCTAATTTTTGTATTTTTAGTAGAGACAGGGTTTTACCATGTTAGCCAGGATGGTCTTGATCTCCTGACCTTGTGATCCACCTGCCTCGGCCTCCCGAAGTGCTGGGATTATAGGCATGAGCCACCATGCCCAGCCTTTTCTCTTTTTTTTTTTTTTCCTTTTTGAGATAGAGTTTTGCTCTTGTTGCCCAGGCTAGAGTGCAATGGTGCCATCTTCGCTTACCGCAACCTCCACTTCTTGAGTTAAAGTGATTCTTCTGCCTCAGCCTCCCAAGTAGCTGGGATTACAGGCATGTGTCACCACGCCCGGCTAATTTTGTATTTTTAATAGAGATGGGTTTCTCCGTGTTGGTCAGGCTGGTCACCCGACCTCAGGTGATCTGCTCCCCTCAGCCTCCCAAAGTGCTGGGATTACAGGCATGAGCCACTGTGCCTGGCCACAAGTTATTTTAAACAGATGTCAACTAACTTTGATCAGAAGGAAACTAAGGAAAAACTAAAAACAAAACAACAACAAAAATCTTTAACTCAGTTTCCATCACATTTTGACTTTTTCTTCTCTTAATGTTGATCTTTTCATATTACCCGTGTCTTTTTTTTAAATTTTACTTTTTATTTATTTTATTTTTATTTATTTTTTGTTTTGAGACGGAGTCTCATTCTGTCGCCCAGGCTGGAGTGTAGTGGCGTGATCTCAGCTCATTGCAACCTCTGCCCACTGGTTTCAAGCAATTCTCCTGCCTCAGCCTCCCAAGTAGCTGGGATTACAGGCACCTGCCACTGCGCTGGCTGATATTTGTATTTCTAGTAAAGATGGGGTTTCACCATCTTGGCCAGGTTGGTCTTGAACTTCTGACCTTATGATCCACCCGCCTGGACCTCTCAAAGTGCTGAGATGACAGGCGTGAGCCACTGGGCCTAGCCATATTGTCCATCTCTGAACAGGTTGCCATGGTTATTTCCGATTTATGTATTATTATTTTTTGAGACGGAGTCTTACCTACTCTGTTTCCCAGACTGGAATGCAGTGGTGCAATCTCGGCTAACTGCAGCCTCCTTCTCCTGTGTTCAAGCAATTCTCCTGCTTCAGCCTCCCAAGTAGCTGGATTACAGGCGCACGCCACCATGCCTGGCTAATTTTTTTAGAGACAGGGTTTTGCCATCTTGACCACACTGGTCTCGAACTACTGACCTTAATCATTCTGCACACTTTGGCCTTCCAAAGTGCTGGGATTATAGGCACAAGCTACTGTGCCCAGCCAATTTACTTTTTATTCTTCGTGAGTGGATTATACACCACAGTTACAGTGTTAGAGTATTCTGAATTTGTGTACTTGTACCCATAAGCTGTATACCTTCAGTCTTTTTTTGTAAGCACCTTGTTGTTTCAGATCGAAGAGCTTCTGAATATGTTTTCCTACTCCCTCCATGTATGGTTGTTGTTGAGAAGTTTATTGTCAGACTAATCGGAGCTCTTTATATATTTGCTTCTTTTCACTACTGCTTTTTAAAATCCTCTCTTTGTTCTTTCTCTGAGAATTTGATATTCCTTGGGGTAGTCTTATTTTGGTTGAATATGTTTGGTGATCTCTGACCTTCCTGTGTCTGGACACTTGTATCTTTCTCTAGGTTTAGAAGGTTTTTTGGGATTATGTTTTATTTTTTATTTTCCAGAAAAATTTAACAGGTTTTTTTTTAATTATTATAACGTTGAACCACTGAAACTTGTTCACTGAAACATTTTGACTTGCATTAATGCTTTACATGGCTGCATTTGTATTAATTCAAATACAAATGAAAATGGAAAAACTGCCAGTACCTGATTTCTGTCATCCGTTTTTCTACTTATGATCATATACTTAAGTACCTTTTGACCCCATGGGGGGCGGGGGGGAAGTAACTTTCAGAACTACCTATAATAGGAAGAAGAGATTTTTTTTTTTTTTTTTTTTTTGGAGAATGAAATGTTTCCCATCATAGTGAAGTCTTAAGCATATTCTCCATTAATATAGTTTGGCTCTGTGTCCCCACCCAAATCTCATCTTGAATTGTAATCCACACCTTTTGAGGGAGGGACCTTGTGGGAGGTGATTGGATTATGGGGGCAGTTTCCTCCATGCTGTTCTCATGATAGAGAGTGAGTTCTCACGAGGTCTGATGTTTTAGAAGTGTCTGACAGTTCCCCCTTCATTCTCTCTCTCCTGGCACCTTGTGAAGAAGGTGCTTGCTTCTCTTCCTTCCCCATGATAGTAGGTTTCCTGAGGCCTCCCAAGCCATGTGGAACTGTGAGTCAGTTAAGCCTTTTTTCTTTATAAATTGCCCAATCTCAGGTAATTCTTTATAGCAGTGTGAGTATGGTTAGTACATCCACATATTAGCAGTGTGCTAGCTGGATGTCTTTTGGCATAATTTTTTTTTTTCGTTTTTTTTTTTTAGACAGAGTTTTGCTGTTGTTGCCCAAGCTGGAGAGCCATTGTGCGATCTTAGCTCACTGCAACCTCTGCCTTCCAGGTTCAAGCGATTCTCCTGCCTCAGCCTCCCGAGTAGCTGGGTTACAGGTGCGCACTACCAAACCCGGCTAATTTTTTGTGTTTTTAGTGGAAACTGGGTTTCATCATGTTAGCAAGGCTGGTCTTGAGCTCCTAACCTCAGATGATCCACCTGCCTCAGCCTCCCAAAGTGCTGGGATTACAGGCATGAGCCATTATGCCCACTGCTTTTGGCATAACTGTTACACATTTTGCATGGATAGCACACAGGTTGGTGTCTTCAAATAGGCCAACCAATTCAGCCTCACTTGCCTCCTGGAAAGCACCAATAACTGCACTGTGGAAGCATAGATCTGTTTGAAAGTCCTGAGCAATTTCTTGCACCAGGTGCTGGAAGGGAAGTTTGTGAATCACTAGTTCTGTGGACTTCTAATAACATGTAATTTCATGGAGTACCAAGGCCTGTGATGATGATGTTTCTTCACCCTTCCGGTAGATGGCAAACTCTAGTGAGCGGCCTCCTGGCTGCTTTACCACCCGGTTGATTTGAAGGCAGTTGGCTTTGTAGGCACCATGGTATAGAGACCCCCTTACTTACCTTTTCCTTAGGCTGGAGCTCTGTGAGCTAGAGGTGATGCTGGCCTTAGAGAGTTACACTGGTGTGGCGGTGGCTGCAAACACAATTGAAAAGGATTATTTTTTAAAACAAGCTTTCTGCCCCTTCTTATTTCTCCACTCCTTGAAACTATTCTTAGATTTGTTTTGAGGTTATTTGCTATATCTTGTAGGCATGCTTTGTTCCTTTTCATTCTTTTCTTTTTTCTCTTCTGTGTCTTTTCTTTTTCTGAGACGGAGCCTCGCTGTTTCACCAGGCTGGAGTGCAGTGGCATAGTCTCAGCTCACTGCAACCTCTGCCTCCTGGGTTCAAGCGAGTCCCCTGCCTCAGCCTCCTGAGTAGCTGGAACTACAGGCACCTAACACAACAATCGGCTAATTTTTGTATTTTTAGTAGAGATGGGGTTTCATCATGTTAGCCAGGATGGTCTCGATCTCTTGACATCATGATCCGCCCGCCTCGGCCTTTCAAAATGTTGAGATTACAGGTGTGAGCCACCATGCCCGGCCCTCTTCTGGGTGTTTTTAAATAGCTTGTCTTTGAGTTCACGGATTCTTTTTTCTGCTTTATCCTTTCTGCTGTTCAGAGCCTGTACTGCATTTTTCATTTCAGCAAATGTATTTCTCACTTCCAGGAATTTTTTGGTTTTTTTTTTTCATTATTTCAATATCTTTGTTAAATTTCTCTGATAAATTCCTAAATTGCTTTTCTTTGTTATCTTGGAGTTGTCTGAGTTTCCTTAAAACTGCTATTTTGAAGTTTTGATCTGAGAGCTAACCTGTTAGGGTTGGTCCCTTGCTTCTTGCTTTGAGGGGGGTGATGGCTGCCTATTTCCTCTTGTGTCTTGTGGTCTTATGTGTGTGGTTTTGCACTGAAGGATTGGTTATGTATTCTAGTCTTCAGTGTCTCTGGCTTCTGGCTTGTTTTGGTCCTTCTAGAGTATGTTTGCTGAGTAGTTTTGTGCAGTTGCCTGTTGAATCTTTAATGTCAGATTGCTGCCTCTTTTTCACCACTAGATGGCGCGGCAAGCCCAAGTTTGCTTCAGCTGGGGCAACTGTGCAGAGGACTGCCTATCTCCAGTGGCGGGTGGGGGCAGGGCGCGGGGCGGGGGGGGTGGGGGGAGGGAGGGGGGAGGGAGGGGGTTGGTCCTGAAGAGGATACTTCGGCTGTGTGGAAGGGCTGGCCACAGGTTGGTGCCCAGAAGACCCGTGGAGCTTGCCTCCTATGGTGTGGTGCTGCTTAACAGCCACCCTGATTTGGCATCGTTTTTGGCTGAGATAAACAGCAGAGTTTCCTGGGGGTTTCTAGTCCTGTCTTCCCCTCTTTGTCTCTAGCTGCTCTCAGGACTTTTTCACGCTACAGGCACTTACAGTGCTTCTTGTGGATTAAGGCAGGAATGGTTTTCCTGCAGGAGAACCCAAGATAGTGAAGAAGCTGGCTGGCTGCCTCATTCTTACTTTTTCCAATATAAAACATGGAGTCTTAGGGGATTTTTCCATGGGGTGCCTCGAAGATTTGGGGAGGGGAATCACAGAAGTCAGTTTCTCTTACCATCTGTTTGGAGTTTTAAATTTCCCTGTGACCCTGGGGATCATCTATACCTCAGGTTTGAGTTCTGGGATATTGCTAGTGATAGTCTTGATTCTGAATATTTGTTTTTGGTTTATTGTGGGGGAGAGTGAAGCCAGATGACTTCTGTTCTGCCATTTTGATGATGCCGCTTTCCTGATGTATTATTTTTTTTAGCATGTTGAAAATACTCTGCTGGCTTCTATTGTGGCTGTTGAGAAGTCAAAAAACAGACTCTTGCTGTTTTAAATATAGTCTGTTTTTTCCTTCCGCTTCTTTTATAGTCTTCTTTTTGTTTTTAGCTGTTTTGCAGCTTCCATTGTGGTGTTTTTATGTGTGGAATTCTTTTTATTTATTCCATGTAAGAGTTACCAGCTTTCTTGAATCTGATTTTCTGCCCTAATTTTGGTGTCTGTATGGCTGCAGTTGGAAGGAGTTGGTGAACAATGATTTCTTTA